ATACACCACTCATCATACACCACTCATCATAAAACACTCATCATACACCACTCATCATACACCACTCATCATACACCACTCATCATACACCACTGATCATACACCACTCATCATACACCACTCATCATACACCACTCATCATGCGCCACTCAACATACACCACTCATAATCCAGTTCACTCCAGTTTCAAGAGCTCTAGCCCCAGTCTAGCTCCAGGTAGCTCTAGTTTCAATGGCTCTAGCTCCAGGTAGCTCCAGTTTCAAGAGCTCCAGCTCCAGTTAGCTCTAGTTTCAACAGCTCTAGCTCCAGTTTACGTGGCAGGCACAGCACCATGTGCAGATTTCGTGGCAGGCACAGCCACACTTTGCGAACCTCCACGTGCAGAGTTCGTGCCCTTACATCGCAGCGCAAGCACACGAGAAGTTGCACGCGTGCTCAGGTGAGCCAGCTCTGCCCGGACACCCTGTGTAGCGAAGGTACATGAACTGGGAATGCTTGATGCTGCTCTCGGCGTCTGTCTCCACTGGCGCGTACATGAAACATCTGCCGTCAGCAACGTTCTCAATCACTGAGAAAGCTAGGACAACACAATAGGCTGCTCGTAGGAGCATAGATGGGCCTATCTCAGGCAGTTCTTCAAACCAAACCCACTCCTTTTTCAGGCATATGAACAGGCTGTCAATGTTCCTGCGCGCTGCAGGAAAGTTTCCGAAATTGAGAGGCAAGGGTTCTGAGATTCGACACTTCGGAAAGGCTTTGCTGTCGCTCTGGTCAAAGGAGATGAATGTGCATCTTTCTTTGCGCAAAAAAATTTTGCTCATGTTGCAGCTGAACGTGGAACTAGAGGACACAATTACCGAGTACAAGTCCCCCCAGGCATCGCGCAAAGATTTGAAAAGGCTGCTCTCAGATGCTCTTGCTCCTGACCCAAATTGCAGAGCATTACTTGCAGGAGGACATCAAACACTTTGACATTACGAGCAAGTGTCATATACTTTTGCAACACATTTCCTGGTATGGCTATTTTCAGAACCAAACCATCAGAGGCGTTTCGAGAGACCATGAGAGGCACGTTGTTTCCACCATGTTCTAGCTTTTCAACAGATGTGTGTTCTAGAAGAGAACATTAGCATATGTCAAGTTTTGTGAAAACCCAGTAGCAACGCGTCCTTTTCGATCCAGCTCCTTGAGCCAAAGTTACAGTCATTCACAGACTGTCTCCAAAAGTCCTCTAAGCTTCTCTGAAGCTCATCCACTCTTCTTGAAAGAGTACATGACTACACCTAGTCATCTCCAAACTACACAAAACTACACAAGGCTATCTCAAACAGTCTCCAAAGACATCGTGCTCTACCAAAAGGTTCTCTAAGCAGTTCCTAGGTCCTAGCCACAAGTTGCCACTTCAAACATCCTCCTGCTAAGGTGGTCAAAGGTCAAACACAAAAAGGGCACAGACCTCCACTCACCTCCAACCCCAAGCACTCTAAAAACGAAAATTCCCTAAAGATGCAAGCACTAGGTGAGCCATACGCTGTTCACGTGCAATGTACGCTACTTTTCACACCCCTTCTTGGGTCGCCTAGGGCTACCTGCCTTCTTCTTCTGTCTTCTTCTCTTCTTCTGTTCGTTTTCTTGGAGCAACTAAGGATCAGACATCAACTAAGATCCAAACTTCTCCCCTCAAAGGTGATCTCAATGACATCAATCCAGAGGTAAATTCGAGCTCCACCAAAGCAAAACTTCAGATCCATCAAAGAATCAACTTCGACCTTCAACCAACACGCCATCAAACAAGGTCAAACGCGTAAAGAGGATCTCTCAGAGGTGGGTCATGGAATCTCATGGGATGCTTCCTTTTCTCAATGACCCTTTAAACCTCATCATCGAGATCCCCAAAAGCACAAGGCTTTCAAGGACAACTTACCTGTCAGCTCAGGAAGCAAAATGTGATCTAGGGTTACCATGCCGTGCAAACCTCTGACCTCAAGACCTGACAAGTTCACAAAGTTGCAATCAACTGCAAAAGATGAAACCCCACAAGGTGACCTAGGCACAAACTTGCAATGAACATGGTTGCAAACAAGCACAAGTGAACTCGCAAGAAACTCGCTGAAAGCTAAACCTGCGATGAACAGAGCTCCAAGCAACTGCACAAGACATCACAAGAAACTCTCTAGAGTCTAGAGATTGCCTGGCCATGAACTGGGTTCCAAACATCCTGAATCAAATGAACTCGTCTTGCCACAGCAAACTCAAACTCTAAGATCACAAACCCTTTGCCACACTGCACGTGTCTAATTCCACCTGCCTATCTGATCTTCCTTTCTCTTTCTGTTTCTTTCTTGCTCTTGCTTTCTCTTGCTTTCTTTCTTTCCTTCCTCAAATCTCCACAGCTTCAACTGAAAAAGGAATCTTCAAGCCCTCAACTCAGCAAGAAACAAAACACGATGGCCTCCAATCAAATTCTCCATGAGTTCAACCTGACATATCACGTTCAATCCAAGCATGCCTCAAGTCAAGGTCAAGCCAAGGTTGCATTCATGGTGCTCATGGTTCTCTCGAAGAACAAACTTTTCGTGGTGCGTGACGTAGGAGTTTCTTCTTCACTCCTCCCGGCCGCGAAGATGGCCACTCAAAAAATCACAACAGTGCCTTGGGCATATAAGATCCACTCAGATCGATGGATCTTCTGGAATCCAGCTTTCTGGAACCGTAAGATTGCCCGTTAGCAAGTCGAAATCTCTTGAAGCCTGGCGGGGCTTCGTGCTCTAGGGCACTGGTCCCCAGGGTCGCCGGAGCACTGGGAGGTTCGTCCCCGGGATACGAGGCACAGGATTCACAGGATCTGTCCCCCCAACTCCACCAAAAGCAGCAGGAACTCCAGTCGAGTGTCCTGCCCCTCCCGCAGGTATCGGATTGGCCGGGGGCACCGGAGGAAATGCCGCAGCAGTCGATGCATGTCCTCCTCCCGACACAACACGATCCATTGCCAACTTCTGGCCAGCCACAAGCTCCTTCAAAAGAAGATTGCTCTCCTTCTGGGTCTCGTTCATGGCCACAATCCCTTCGCAGGCATTGGCGATGGCATCAAGTGTCTTTCCTGCCAAGACACTCGTCTCGCCCAGCAATTTCCCTTGACTCAAAAGGTGATCCTTGATGGAGATGTTAGTCACTTTCCCGGATCCTGAAAGTTGCCAAGTCGCGTTTTCCAAGCTCTTGGCCATACCCTTCAAAGCCGAAGTGACCGGAGCAGCTGCATCCCCCGCCACTTTAATGTGAGCGGCGAGAGCCAACAGGCCCTCTGACATCTTCACCATGGATTGCTGCTGAGCCTCCATCTTTGGATTCAACACACCAGACGCTTCAGACATCTGGCTGGCATTTTGCTAGGGTTTTTGGACCCCAAACTGGTGTCCAGAAAATCACTTTTTTTGATCCCTTGAAGGAGCAAAAAGTTTGGAAAACCTGTGAGGGTTGAGAATTGCTCGGGAGAAAGCGTTTGGCCTGTATGATGTTCTTGATCGAAAGCAATCAAGCTTACGGATCAATGGTCAGCTGCTTTTTTCGGCAGTCTGATTGCAGCCTTGCACGCTTGGTGCATGTTTGTTTGCTACAAATCTTGTGGTGGACATCCGCCGTGAGTCGACCTAGCGCCCTGAGACCAAACGTTGTGAACCCATTCTTCGTATTTTGTGGTCTGTCTTAATTTTGGATGAAAGGAAAGAAGGGTGGGGAGATGTTAAGCGAAGGTTTGGCGCCGTGGAGCCTGTCATGTTTGCGTATGTTTACAGGAGCCATCTCTGGTCGTTCACTATGGCAAGGAAACCTTGTTTCGTTTTATTTGACGTCGTTGTTTGATGCATGTTGTGAAGGATGGGGTTTTGAAAAGATATTGTTGAGGTTTTGAGCTCGCCTCCTTGGTGTTTGTTGCAAGCTACGCCAGGCTTCCGCCCGGGTCCCGGTTCCATCTTAGCGTCAACGTTCAAATTTTCCCTTGCAATGCACTATATAGGGTTTTTGCGGTTACAATCTGGGTTGGGTCGGACCGTCTATTACAGTGCGCGGTACCACCTCGGCGCCACTTCATTACGGCTCGGGCCCTTTATTACAATGCGCGGCCTCGGTACCGCTCGGGCCCTCTGTTACAATGCGCGGTACCGCCTCGGTACCGCTCGGGCCCTCCATTACAATGCGCGGTACCGCCTCAGTACCGCTCGGGCCCTCTGTTACAATGCGTGGTACCGCCTCGGTACCGCTCGGGCCCTCCATTACAATGCGCGGCGCCGCCTCGGTACCGCTCGGGCCCTCTATTACAATGCGCGGTACCGCCTCGGTACCGCTTCGGTACCGCTCGGGCCCTCTATTACAATGCGCGGTACCGACACCCCGTTTTGTGAAAACACAGTAGCAACGCGTCCTTTTCGATCCAGCTCCTTGAGCCAAAGTTACAGTCATTCATAGACTGTCTCCAAAAGTCCTCTAAGCTTCTCTGAAGCTCATCCACTCTTCTTGAAAGAGTACATGACTACACCTAGTCATCTCCAAACTACACAAAACTACACAAGGCTATCTCAAACAGTCTCCAAAGACATCGTGCTCTACCAAAAGGTTCTCTAAGCAGTTCCTAGCCACAAGTTGCCACTTCAAACATCCTCCTGCTAAGGTGGTCAAAGGTCAAACACAAAAAGGGCACAGACCTCCACTCAGCTCCAACCCCAAGCACTCTAAAAACGAAAATTACCTAAAGAAGCAAGCACTAGGTGAGCCATGCGCTGTACACGTGCGCTGTACGCTACTTTTCACACCCCTTCTTGGGTCGCCTAGGGCTACCTGCCTTCTTCTTCTGTCTTCTTCTTCTGCTGTTCGTTTTTCTTGCAGCAACTAAGGATCAAACATCAACTAAGATCCAAACTTCTGCCCTCAACCCAAGCAAAACTCCAGATCCATCAAAGAATCAACTTCGACCTTCAACCAACACGCAATCAACCAAGGACAAGCGTGTAAAGAGGATCTCTCAGAGGTGGGTCATTGATGGGATGATTCCTTTTCTCAATGACCCTTTTAAACCTCCTCATCGAGATCCTCAAAAGCACAAAGCTTTCAAGGACAACTTACCTGTCAGCTCAGGAAGCAAAAGGTGATCTAGGGTTACCATGCCGCGCAAACCTCTGACCTCAAGACCTGACAAATTCACAAAGTTGCAATCAACTGCAAAAGATGAAACCCCACAAGGTGACCTAGGCACAAACTTGCAATGAACATGGTTGCAAACAAGCACAAGTGAACTCGCAAGAAACGTACTTCAGGAGCAGCCATCTTCGTCAATGATTGTTGTGCCAAAGCATTCAGTAGGTTGCAGCAGAGTGTAGCCTGTAGCTCAGCCGAGGCAGAGCTATAAGCTTTGTTCGAAGGAGCGAAAGAAACTATAGGTATTCAACATGCCGTGGCACATGTATATGGATGTCAAGCTGAGGAATTACCCATTCCAGATTTGCTTACAGATTCGATGGCAGCCCGAAATGTCACAGAGATGTCAGGGTTGTTGAGATTGAGACACATAGATATTCAGATCTGTTTTTTGCAAGATGCAGTCTATAAGGGAGTGATTTCCATTAGCTTTGTCCGAGGCACCGAGAATTGTGCCGACCTGATGACCAAGGCATTGTCGAGAGCTGTGACTTTACAACATATGGAGACGATCGGAGTTGTCAGAGCATTTCTCATTTCATTCGAAGTGCCGTATGACTGGATCGGGAGATGGTTGCGATCATGGATAAGGTCACGTGTACCGAAATCCTAATTGTTGAGTTTTGCACATCACCGGAGTCCGAGATGAAGGAAGTCGGAAACCGTACCGAAGGTGTTGAAGTCTTGACTATCACTGAGGCGGACGACGGAACCCGATCGGACACGATCGAATCAGTTCGGGAGCAGATGGTGAGACACAGGAAAAAAAGAAAGCTTATTGTCTTGTGGTCGTCAATTCCGTGCACAGGAGGATGTCCGTTTCAGTACATTTGCATCTTTTTTCCACGAGTACGGACGCCGTGTGGGCATGGTGCCCAGGTCATCGTTGAAGGAAGGGAAGAAAAGACAGATGGTGGAGAAAGGAACGAAGACCCCAAAAACCAACCCAAAACCAAACACCCAAGCCCGCAGGCCGACTC